CAAGAACTCCTTGAACCCTAGAACCAATAATGGTTCGTCCGAAACCACCCCAAGAACCAAAGGAAGGTTCGAATATTGCTCTCCCCAAAAACAAGAACTCTCTTGTACTTTTAAGAACACTAACTCTCAAAAATTCAGAATAAAGAGAAGGGTGCTTCTCTAATTTGTACCCTTGTGATCTTGGCAGCAAGAAGAAGAAGAAGAATGGAGTAGAGTGGTGTGAGAATTTTCGAAAAACAGCACCCCTATTTATAGGCAATGCAAGTCTTTGTGTGCTAGAAAACTCCTACAAGATAGGACATAAATTTTCTCTAAAATATTCCCCCATTAATTGATAAAATTCAGTCGACAAGATGGAATAAGGAAGAAGAAATTCGGCCAGCTTGATAAATAAAAGAGATAGAGTCCTAAAACATAGATAATCATAATCCCTTTTGGACACAACTTATGAACTATGTCATAAAACAATGAAAGGTTCATCCCTACTAATCAGAGACAAAAAATCTGACCCCCTAATACAAATAGGACTCAAAAACTCGGCCAAAACACAAGCACAATTGCATTAAAAGACTCAAAAATTTTCAGATAAAGATAAGACTTCCTTATCTCAATAGTTTTCAAAAATAGACTCACTTTAAAACTCTAATTATAATCTCACTGAAATTATAATTTAACTGATGCAAAAAATTAGTATTTAAATCCAAGTAGGACTCAAATAAAACACACAATAAAATTTGTATTACCATTAGGAAACAAAGGCAGAAAAATTTCGGCCAATGTGAACACTCAAATCCAAGACCGAGTAGGTCTCAAATCATAACACAATTTGGACTCAATGACCTTAATTTTAGGGATAAAATTTTCGGCCATGTGAACACACAAATACTAGACCGAACAGGTCTCAAAGTGTAACACAAATAGACAAAAAAAAAAGTCAAGTTCAACTAGGACTAGGATACCCTAATTTTTAGCTCAAACATTCGGCTATACTACGACTCTAAAATTCAAAACCAACTAGACCTAGAACTCCACATAAAACACACGCACACACATGCATTAATTCAGCAAAATTTTGACAATCAACTTTTACCACTTAGTTAAAATTTGAAAAATTACTTTTGACTCACTTTAAAAAGGAAACTTTGAAATTACCACTTTCCAAAATGTCCAACAACTTTTAGAATACTTTCTAAAAACCACTTTCCAAATTGTATATGGAATTAACAAAAATCACTTTTTACCAAAACAATCTATGGCAAATAAAGTAACAAGAACACCATAAGTATAATGAAGTTGAAATTTAAAGTTCCTCATTCAACTATGATGTTTGCTTCATAATACTCAATTTAACACAAACCATTCATACAACTCAATGACTCAACAAGGTCATCTTCATAAGTGATCATTTGAAAATCAAATTTTCCAAAGACCAAATATGTAAACTTCAAGAACATATCTCAAAGCCTATAAGATTTCTTGTTATATATAAGAAAATCTTTAGTAAAACTTCACTCAATTCTCGATTCAACTCTCAAAAATTAAGGTTTTAAACACAAGTCAAAGACTTCAACCCTTAAAGTTGGCACAATTCAATTTCAAAGACCTTTAAACATTTGATACCGAAACTGATATCACTAAAATTCATTCTTCATCAAATGATAAAGAAAGTTTTGAATCTCAATTCAAGAATCATGGAAAGTCCAATGATAGGAAGATCCACTAATTCAACTCATTCTCAAAGTATAAACTTATGAGATACCAAAAACCGACAGTTGTTACTTTTGAAAATGTTTTGACACTAAGATTTAAACAAAAACATAATGATCAAAAAGAATCGGAACTCTATGATATTCTCATTGTTTGAAAATCCATAAATTCCATTTTACTCATTAGATTCAAATGAGAACCAACAAGAAGGAAGGCTTTTTGATTTATACTTTATGTAGAAAGTACAAAATCACTAAGTTTCACCTTTCAAAGAATAGATCCAAGATATTTACCACAAGATAAACTCTCAAACCCTCCTCATGTAAAGACATCTCTTTAGAAAGAAAAGGCTATCTAGAGCAATAAGCTCTTCTTTGGCATCAATTCTATCCTTAAAGATTCAACACATAAGATCCACTAACTTGCTCATAGGAGAAACAGTTCTCTACTTGCAAATCAAGGATAAATTTTAAGATGTAGCGCCCACTTTGACTAGATACCAATGTACCATCATCAAGCTCTCGCATAGACCCCAAAATAACACCACAAGATCAAACAAATGTGTAAGAAGTCTCACACAACCACACAAAAGACAAGATCAATTTTGAAAAGGTAGTTTTCAAAAGAATTTGATTTATTTTTTTCAAAACCGATTCTGCAACAAGAAGGAACCTTGAAACAAATAAAGATAGTACTACTCGTTAGTAGCACAAAGCTCGATTACCACACCAAGAAACGGATTCCGTCGTAACTCAAGATATTCTCAAAACCAAGAACTATAAGGTCCTCAATCTAAAAGAAATCTCTCAACAATCAAACTGATACTAAAAACTGAAATGATAATATCAATTAATACCATAACTTAGATAGTTCAAGCTCTGACACTGGAAACTGATAGCAATTTCGTAGATGAAGCAAATTTTGTTAATGCAACCATCAAACAAGAAAGTACGAAGATAATTTGTCTATCCCGTGAAACTCAAAAGAGTGCGGAAAATTCACAGTAAGACGATTGTTTATCTAAAGATTTCTATCTCTTAAATCAAACCAAGCAAAGAACACATAATCTATAAAAGATTCGAATTAAACAACAACCCACACTAAGAATAGTAAGGAAACCATTCAATATACTAGATCACTCATCATTCAAGAGACTCAAGAAAGGTAGGAGCAAACAATGCTCAACTATGAAGGAATACTATTGATTACTAATCTCCATAACCAACAAAGATATGCAACACACACACTATCTCAAAATGCTTATTCCTAAGCACAACTCATCCAACAAAAGTTGGACAAACCCCACAAAAGAACTCATGAACACACACATCATGAATTCAAAAACCATAGCCAAAAGAAAGGCTCAACTCTCGATGATGAGAATCATGTAGCCTTCCATGGAGGTTCTCCTAGTGAGGGGAATGAGCTAGTCCTTCATTCTAGTTTTGGAAAGCCAAGTTTACTTTGCAGGCAAATCAAGGAAGAAAGGATGGATCTTGACTACCTATGTGATAGGGAGTTGGTTCAAGAGAGCTATGATCAAGGTGATGAGAATGTCATTAACTTTGGGGTTCAAACCAAAGGAGATGAAGACATCATGGAAATAAGTGCTGAAGAGTATCAAGAGAGTTTGACTCTGTGTGCTCCATGAAGATCATTGATCAAGCTAGTGAGAAGAGTCATTTAGGTTCTTGAATGGACGGCCTATTTGATCAAAGTATTCAAGATTGAGTCCATTGCTACACAATTGGATAGGTTGCAAACTATCTTAATTGTTTCAAGTGTTTTTCCAATCTTTTGGAGTCAATAAAGAGAATTCTACAAGTTTGGAGTAAATTGGAGTTTTCTACAACTTAAGGGGCGGAAGACCAATATTCCACTTTTGGAAGGGCGTTCAAGACATTTTACTTCAACAATTTGGAGCTGAATTTCGAGATTAGAGTTAGTCTAAGTTTAGGAGTCAATTTTCGAATTTTTATCTAGTTAAATAAGTCATGTGGACTGAATTAAACTAGAGTGTTTTGATTAGGAGTCTTAGATTCCTTCTAGATATTATCCTACTTGAGGATAAGTCATAGATAAGGTTTTCTAGATTTTAGATAGAGTCAAAGAGATCAAGTACTCTTCTACTTTTACTCCTTGGGAGATAAGATTAGAGAGTCCTAATTGGTCTTCTTTTTAGTGGCGCTGTCCGAAAATCCTAAGCCTATAAATAGGAGGCTTGGCCAAATTTCTTAAGCACCCTTGAGTGGTCATTTTTGTTGTCTCTTTTGAGAGTATTTCCTGTGAGGAATTTTTGTTAAATGGAGTGTCCATTTTTCAGGTCAAGTATGATTAAACCAAGAGGGTTTTCATCTTGTCTTGGATCTTTTTGATCTTGCAGAAACTGTTCTTTTTCAAGTATACTTCTTGATAGAATTGTTTTAAAACAAAACTTCTTTTTTTCATACTACTTCTAGTAGTTCGATTGATGAGCCTTTCCTTTGGCTTGGTGTTCGAATTTCGTGATGAGTGTGTTCATGAGATCCATTGTGGGGTTTGTCCTACTTTTGTTGGATGAGTTGTGCTTTGGCATAAGCATTTTGAGATAGTGTATGTGTTGCATATCTCTGGTTGGTTATGAAGATTACTAATCAATAGTAATCCTTCATAGTTGGGTATTGTTTCCTCCTGCCTTTCTTGAGTCTCTTGATAGATGACTGATCGAGTATATTGAATGGTGTCCTTGCTAAGAATAGCAAGGACACCATTCAATATACTCGATCAGTCATCATTCAAGAGACTCGAGAAAGGTAGGAGCAAACAATGCTCAACTATGAAGGAATACTATTGATTCGTAATCTCCATAACCAACAAAGATATGCAACACATACACTATCTCAAAATGCTTATGCCTAAGCACAACTAATACAACAAAAGTTGGACAAACCCCACAAAGGAACTCGAAAACCAAGCCAAGAGAAAGGCTCATCAATCGAACTACTAGAAGTAGTATGAAAATAAGAAGTTTTGTTTTAAAACAATTCTATCAAGAAGCATACTTGAAAAAGAACGGTTTTTGCAAGATCAAAAGATCCAAGACAAGATGAAAACCCTCTTGGTTAAATCATACTTGACACGAAAAATGGACACACCATTTAACAAAAATTCCGCACAGGAAAAACTCTCATTAGAGAAGACTCAAAATGACCACACACGGGTCGTTTATCTTTCGGCCATACCCCCTATTTATAGGCTAGCAATTTCGGCCAAAGCACCTAAAAGAAGACCAACTAGGACTCTCTAATCTTATCTCACGCAGGAGTAGAAGTAGAAGAGTGTTTCATCTCTTTGACTCTATCTAAAATCTTGGAAACCTTACCTAAATGACTTATCCTCAAGTAGAATAATACTTAGAAGAAATCTAAGACTCCTAATCAAAACATTCTAGTTTAATTAAGTCCACATGACTTATTTAACTAGATAAAATTCGAAAATATTTCCTAGACTAGATAATACTCTAATCTCGAAATTCAGCTCCAAATATTGAAGTAAAGTTGATAGCAATCTCGTAGATGAAGCAAATTTCGTTAATACGACCATCAAACAAGAAAGTACGAAGATAATTTGTCTATCCCGTGAAACTCAAAAAAGTCCGGAAAATTCACAGTAAGGCGATTGTTTATCTAAGGATTTCTTTCTCTTAACTCAAACCAAGCAAAGAACACATAATCCATGAAAGATTCAATTTAAACAACCTACCCTAAGAATAGTAAGACACCATACAATAAACTCGATCAGTCATCATTCAAGAGACTCAAGAAAGGTAGGAGCAAATAATGCTCAACTATGAAGGAATACTATTGATTTGTAATCTCCATAACCAACAAAGATATGCTACACATACACTATCTCAAAATGCTTATGCCTAAGCACAACTCATTCAACAAAAGTAGGACAAACAACACAAAGGAACTCATGAACACACACATCATGAATTCGAAAACCATAGCCAAAAGAAAGGCTCAACCCTCGAACTACTAGAATTAGTATGAAAATAAGTGATAGCAATCTCGTAGACGAAGCAAATTTCGTTAATGCAACCATAAACGAGAAAGTACGAAGATAACTTTGTCTATCCCGTGAAACTCAAAAGAGTGCGGAAAATTCACAATAAGACGATCGTAAGCCAATCTGAAAAGGTACCATGGCCTTTTTAGTAAAGACAAAGATATTCTTCGAGCAATGGTGCACAGCATCTACATCTGACTGCCAAGGCCTACCTAGCAAAATATCACAAAGAGACATAGGAATTTCATCAAAGTAAATTTCATCCCTATACTCACCAATCTGAAAAGGTACCATGGCCTTTTTAGTAACATCCACAACCATCTCTTCACTCAATCATTGAAGCTTGTATGGTCTAGTATGCGGATCCATCTTAATTCCGTTTGCTATGTAAAATTCCTCACTTACACAATCAGTACTTGACCCACCGTCGATTACCAAATCAACTTCATTGGACCACCCAACCGAACACTTAGTACGGAAGATACAAGTCCGTTGATCTCCATCTTCAGCGCCAAACACCAACCCCTCATCCTCAATTGAACCATTCCAATCACAAGAAGTATCATGCTCTCTTTCCACTTCTAAGGCAGCATAGTATGCCTCATAGAGCCTTGATTGTCTCCTTATCTTTGGGTGTTGTTTGAAACACTTGTCCAAGCCATAGTGGAAACGGTCTGTCAACATGTAGTCGTTCTCATCCACTTCTGAACTTAGAAACAACCCTTCTAATTCCTCAAAGTAAGATTGAATGGATCTACCATTCTGCTTACAATTGAGCACCTTCACTTTTGCTTCATCAAAGGTGTTAGTAGCAGCATATCTTTCTCGCAAAGCACTTCTCAAATCATTCCAATCATCCAAATTACGATACCAATAATGCGAATAGATATTTGAAACTAGCTTCCACCAATTCAAAGCATTAGAACGAAAACAACCTATAGCTAAGGCTATTTTCTCACTCTCTTTCTCTATGTTAAGCAACACAAACAAATTCTCTATGCTCTTTTCCCAAGTATCATATTCTCTATGACAACCATAAAACAAAGGCAATGACACTTGAAACATTCCAGCATACGAGGGTACTTGTTTAACTTCAAAACGATCACATAAGACTTTTAAATTTTCAGCAATTTTCTCAAAACTTACCATAGCTTTATCTTGCTGATTTGAAAGCAATTGAGACAAGTCTCGGTTTGCCTCCTTAACCTCGGCCAAAGCATCATGTAGGAAGTCAATTTGACTCTTCATGAGCTGTACTTGAGCCTCCATGCGACCCTCTACACTCTTTGAAGCGATTTGAGTACAACCAGCAACTCTGAGAAACCACCAACAAAAGAAGTAATGCCTTGTTTACTACACAAAAACTCCTTGAACCCTAGAACCAAAGTTTGGTTCGGCCGAAACCCCCCCAAGAACCAAAGGAAGGTTCGAATAAAGCTCTCCCCAAAAACAAAAACTCTCTTGTGCTTTTAAGAACACAACTCTCAAAATTTCAGAATTAAAGAGAAGAGTGCTTCTCTTGTTCTTTTCTCTTTTAATCTCAGCAGCAAGAAAGAAGAAGAAAATTGGAGTAGAGTGATGTGAGAATTTTCGAAAAACAGCACCCCTAGTTATAGGCAATGCAAGTCTTTTTGTGCAAGAAAACTCCTACAAGATATGACCTAAATTTTCTCAAAAATATTCCCCCCTAAATGATGAAGGCTGCTCGACAATGTGGAATAAAGAAGAAGAGAAACCGGCCTCATATATATAGACAAGGATAGAGTCCTAAAACTTAGGTAAACATAATCTTTTTTGGACACAAATTAGGAAATCTCATCCCTACTTATTAGAGATAAAATTTTCGATCCCCCCTACTACTAAAAGGACTCAAATACATGGCCACACACATGCACAATTGTATTAGAAGACTCAAAAATTTTCAGATTAGGATAAGACTTCCTTATCTTAATAGTTTTCGAAAATAGACTCACTTTAAAACTCTAATTATAATCTCACTGAAATTATAATTTAACACATGTAAAAGTTAGTATTTAAATCCAAATAGGACTTAAATAAAACACACAATAAAATTGTATTACAATTAGGAAACAATGGCTGCAAATTTTCGGCCAATGTGAACACAAAAATCCAAAACCGAATAGGACTCAAATCATAACACAATTTGGACTCAATGACCTTAATTTTAGGGCTAAAATTTTTGGCCATGTGAACACACAAATACAAGACCAAATAGGTCTCCAAGTGTAACACAAATAGACAACCAAAATTCAAGTTCAACTAGGATTAGGACCCTAATTTTTAGCTTCACAATTTCGGCTATACTATGACTCTAAAATTCAAAACCAACTAGGCTTAGAATACAACATAAATCACACGCACACACATGCAAAAAGTCAGCAAAAATTCGGTTATTAACCTTTTACCACATAGTTAAAATTTGAAAAATTACTTTTGACTCACTTAAAAGGAAACTTGAAAATTACCACTTTCCAAAAATGGACAACAACTTTTAGAATCTTTCTAAAAACCCTTTTCCAAATTGTACATGGAATTAACAAAAATTACTTTTTACCAAAACAATCCATGGCAAATAAAGTAACAAGAACACCATAATTATAAGTAGGAAATTAAAGTTCCTTGTTCAATTATGACATTTGCTTCATAATACTAAATTTAACACAAATCATTCTGAAAACTCAATGACTTAACAATGCCATCTTCATAAGTGACCATTGAAAATCAACTTTTCCAACAACTAAATATGTAAACTTTAAGAATACATCTCAAAGCCTATAAGATTTCTTGTCATAAATTAAGAAAATCTTTTTAGTAAAACTTCACTCAATTTTTGACCCTACTCTCGAAAATCAAGGTTTTAAACACAAGTCAAAGACTTCAATCCTTAAAGTTGGCACAATTCAACTTCAAAAGACTTTAAAACACTTTGATACCAAAAACTGAGATCACTAAAATTTCATTCCTCATCACTTGACAAAGAAAGTTTTTGACTCAAACTCAAAGTGTAAAACTCAAGAAAACAAGAAAACCAACATTTGTTACTTTTGAAAAATCTTTTGACACTAAGATTAAACAAGATAATCAACAAAATTCGGTCTCTAAGAAATTTTCATGAATTGAAAATCCATAAATTCCATTTTACTCATTAGATTCAAATGAAACCAACAAGAAGGAAGGCTTTTTCATTTATACTTTATGTAGAAAGTACAAAATCACTAAGCTTCACCTTTCAAAGAATAGATCCAAGATATTTACCACAAGATAAACTCTCAAATCCTCCTTATGTAAAGACATCTCTTTAGAAAGAAAAGGCTATCTCGAGCAAAAAGCTCTTCTTTGGCATCAATTCTCTCCTTAAAGATCCAACACATAAGATCCACCAACTTTCTCATAGGAGAAACAGTTCTCTACTTGCAATTCAAGGATAGATTTCAAGATGTAGCGCCCACATTGATTAGATACCAACGTACCATCATCAAGCTCTCGCATAGACCTCAAAATAACACCACAAGATCAAACAAATGTGTAAGAAGTCTCGCACAACCACACAAAAGACAAGATCAATTTTGAAAACATAGTTTTCACAAGAATTTGATTTATTTTTTAAACACCCCATTCCAAAACAAGAAGTAGCCTTGAAACAAATAAAGATAGTACTACTCGTTAAGTAGCACAAAGCTCGATCACCACACCAAGTAACGGATTCCGTGGTAATTCAAGATATTCTCAAAACCAAGAACTATGAAGTTCTCAACTAAGAAGAAATCTCTTGAAAATCAAACTGATAATAGGAACTTAAATAATAATATCAATTAATACAATCACTAAGATAATCCAAGCTCTGATACCAAGAAACTGATAGCAATCTCGTAGACGAACCAAATTTCATTAATGCAACCATCAACAAGAAAGTACGAAGATAATTTTGTCTATCCCGTGAAACTCAAAAGAGTGCGGAAAATTCACAGTAAGATGATTGTTTATCTAAGTGATTCTATCTCTTAACTCAAACCAAGCAAAGAACACATTATCCATGAAAGATTCGAATTAAACAACAACCCACGCTAAGAATAGCAAGGACACCATTCAATATACTCGATCAGTCATCTATCAAGAGACTCAAGAAAGGTAGGAGCAAACAATGCTCAACTATGAAGGAATACTATTGATTAGTAATCTTCATAACCAACCAAAGATATGCAACACATACACTATCTCAAAATGCTTATGCCAAAGCACAACTCATCCAACAAAAGTAGGACAAACCCCACAATGGATCTCATGAACACACTCATCATGAAATTCGAACACCAAGCCAAAGGAAAGGCTCATCAATCGAACTACTAGAAGTAGTATAAAAATAAGAAGTTTTGTTTTAAAACAATTCTATCAAGAAGCATACTTGAAAAAGAACGGTTTCTGGAAGATCAAAAAGATCCAAGACAAGATCAAAACCCTCTTGGTAATCATACTTGACACAAAAAATGGACACTCCATTTAACAAAAATTCCTCACAGGAAAAACTCTCAAAAGAGACAACAAAAATGACCACTCAAGGGTGCTTAAGAAATTCGGCCAAGCCTCCTATTTATAGGCTTAGAATTTTCAGCCAGCACCACTAAAAAGAAAACCAATTAGGACTCTCTAATCTTATCTCCCACGGAGTAAAAGTAGAAGAGTACTTGATCTCTTTGACTCTATCTAAAATCTAGGAAAACTTATCTAAATGACTTATCCTCAAGTAGGATTGATAGCAATCTCGTAGACGAAGGAAATTTCGTTAATGCAACCATCAACAAGAAAGTACGAAGATAATTTTGTCTATCCCGTGAAACTTAAAAGAGTGCGGAAAATTCACAGTAAGACGATCGTTTATCTAAGTGATTCTATCTCTTAACTCAAACCTAGAAAAGAACACATTATCCATGAAAGATTCGAATTAAACAATAACCCACGCTAAGAATAGCAAGGACACTATTCAATATACTCGATCAGTCATCTATCATGAGACTCAAGAAAGGTAGGAGCAAACAATGCTCAACTATGAAGGAATACTATTGATTAGTAATCTTCATAACCAACCAAAGATATGCAACACATACACTATCTCAAAATGCTTATTATGCCAAAGCACAACTCATCCAACAAAAGTAGGACAAACCCCACAATGGATCTCATGAACACACTCATCATGAAATTCGAACACCAAGCCAAAGGAAAGGCTCATCAATCGAACTACTAGAAGTAGTATGAAAATAAGAAGTTTTGTTTTAAAACAATTATATCAAGAAGCATATTTGAAAAAGAATGGTTTCTGCAAGATCAAAAAGATCAAAGACAAGATTGAAAACCCTCTTGGTTTAATCATACTTGACACGAAAAATGGACACTCCATTTAACAAAAATTTCTCACAGGAAAAACTCTCAAAAGAGACAACAAAAATGACCACTCAAGGGTGCTTAAGAAATTCGGCCAAGCCTCCTATATATAGGCTAGAATTTTCGGCCAGCACCACTAAAAAGAAGACCAATTAGGACTCTCTAATCTTATCTCCCAAGGAGTAAAAGTAGAAGAGTACTTGATCTCTTTGACTCTATCTAAAATCTAGGAAACCTTATCTAAATGACTTATCCTCATGTAGGATAATATCTAGAAAGAATCTAAGACTCCTAATCAAAACACTCTAGTTTAATTCGGTCCACATGACTTCTTTAACTAGATAAAAATTCAAAAATTGACTCCTAGACTTAGACGTACTCTAATCTCGAAATTCAGCTCCAAATTATTGAAGTAAAATGTCTTGAACGCCCTTGCAAAAGTGGAATATTTGTCTTGCGCCCCTTAAGTTGTAGAAAACTCCAATTTACTCAAAAACTTGTAGAATTCTCTTTATTGACTCCAAAGATTGGAAAAACACTTGAAACAATTAAGATAGTTTGCAACCTATCCAATTGTGTAGCAATGGACTCAATCTTGAACACTTTGATCAAATAGGCCGTCCATTCAAGAACCTAAATGACTCTTCTCACTAGCTTGATCAATGATCTTCATGGAGCACACAGAGCCAAACTCTCTTGATACTCTTCAGCAGTTATTTCCATGAGGTGTTCATCTCCTTTGGTTTGAACTCCAAAGTTAATGACATTCTCATCACCTTGATCATAGCTCTATTGAACCAACTCCCTATCACACAGGTAGTCAAGATCAATCATTTCTTCCTTAATTGGCCTGCAAAGTAAACTTGGCATTCCAAAACTAGAATGAAGGATTAGCTCATACCCCTCACTAGGAGAACCTCCATGGAAGGCTACATGATTCTCATCAAGGATAATATCTAGAAGGAATCTAAGACTCCTAATAAAAACACTCTAGTTTACTTAAGTCCACATGACTTATTTAACTAGATAAAAATTCGAAAATTGACTCCTAGACTTAGACTAACTCTAATCTCGAAATTCAGCTCCAAATTGTTGAAGTAAAATGTCTTGAATGCCCTTCCAAAGGTGGAATATTGGTCTTGCGCCGCTTAAGTCGTAGAAACCTCCAATTTACTCCAAAACTTGTAGAATTCTATTTATTGACTCCAAAAGATTGGAAAAACACTTGAAACAATTAAGATATTTGCAACCTATCCAATTGTGTAGCAATGGACTCAATCTTGAACACTTTGATCAAATAGGCCGTCCATTCAAGAACCTAAATGACTCTTCTCACTAGCTTGATCAATGATCTTCATGGAGCACACAGAGTCAAACTCTCTTGATACTCTTCAGCACTTATTTCCATGAGGTCTGCATCTCCTTTGGTTTGAACCCCAAAGTTAATGACATTCTCATCACCTTGATCATAGCTCTCTTGAACCAACTCCCTATCACATAGGTAGTCAAGATCCATTCTTTCTTCCTTGATTGGCCTGCAAAGTAAACTTGGCATTCCAAAACTAGAATGAAGGACTAGCTCATTCCCCTAACTAGGAGAACCTCCATGGAAGGTTACATGATTCTCATCATCCCCTCCTTCTTTAAGAGGATTCGTCCTCGAATCATCAACCTCTATACCTGCACAAGGAACAAACGAGATATAAGGGTTAGTAAAATCCTCACCCTCACCACACTCTGATTTTCTCTCATTGCGTGCATTTTTTTTCTGTTTCCACGCTATTTTCATGATTTTCTCTTGCCTCAAGTCTTATCTCATCGTGACCCTTTTTACTTTCTTGCGTCATTCTCTCGACTTTTTGTCTCCCTTGTGTATAGGTTATCTTACGTATTTTCTCTCGCGCAGATTCAGATTCTTCATAAGCCAAAGGCTTAAGAATGTATTTTCTGTCCTCTTTAGTAAAGACAAAGATATTCTTCGAGCAATGGTGCACAAAGATCTACATCCGATCGCCAAGGCCTACCTAGCAAAATATCACAAAGAGACATAGGAATTACATCAAAGTAAATTTCATCCCTATACTCACCAATCTGAAAAGGTACCATGGCCTTTTTAGTAACATCCACAACCATCTCTTTACTCAACCATTGAAGCTTGTATGGTCTAGTATGCGGATCCATCTTAATTCCGTTTGCTATGCAAAATTCCTCACTTACACAATCAGTACTCGACCCACCGTCGATTACCAAATCAACTTCATTGGACCACCCAACCGAACACTTAGTACGGAAGATACAAGTCCGTTGATCTCCATCTTTAGCGCCAAACACCAACCCCTGATCCTCAATTGGACCATTCCAACCACAAGAAGTATCATGCTCTCTTTCCACTTCTAAGGCAGCATAGTATGCCTCATAGAGCCTTGATTGTCTCCTTATCTTTGGGTGTTGTTTGAAACACTTGTCCAAGCCATAGTGGAAATGGTCTGTCAACATGTAGTCGTTCTCATCCACTTCTGAACTCAGAAACAACCCTTCTAATTCCTCAAAGTAAGATTGAATGGATCTACCATTCTGCTTACAATTGAGCAACTTCACTTTTGCTTCATCAAAGGTGTTAGTACCAGCATATCTTTCTCGCAAAGCACTTCTCAAATCATGCCAATCATCCAAATTACGATACCAATAATGTGAATAGATATTTGAAACTAGCTTCCACCAATTCAAAGCATTAGAACGAAAACAACCTATAGCTAAGCCTATTTTCTCACTCTCTTTCTCTATGTTAAGCAACACAAACAAATTCTCTATGCTCTTTTCCCAAGTATCATGTTCTCTATGACAACCATAAAACAAAGGCAATGACACTTGCAACATTCCAGCATACGAGGGTACTTGTTTAACTTCAAAACGATCACATAAGACTCTTAAATTTTCAGCAATTTTCTCGATTGCTGATTTGAAAGCAATTGAGACAAGTCTCGGTTTGCCTCCTTAACCTCGGCCAAAGCATCATGTAGGAAGTCAATTTGACTCTTCATGAGCTGTACTTGAGCCTCCATGCGACCCTCTACACTCTTTGAAGCGATTTGAGTACAACCAGCAACTCCGGATGACATCTTCGCTCAACAACTCTGAGAAACCACCAACAAAAGAAGTAATGTGCCTTATTTACTACACGAAAACTCTTTGAACCCTAGAACCAAAGTTTGGTTCGGCCGAAACCCCCCCCAAGAACCAAAGGAAGGTTCGAATAAAGCTCTCCCCAAAAACAAAAACTCTCTTGTGCTTTTAAGAACACAACTCTCAAAATTTCAGAATTAAAGAGAAGAGTGCTTCTCTTGTTCTTTTCTCTTTTGATCTCGGCAGCAAGAAAGAAGAAGAAGATTGGAGTAGAGTTATGTGAGAATTTTCGAAAAACAGTACCCCTAGTTATAGGCAATGCAAGTCTTTTTGTTGGACCTAAATTTTCTCAAAAATATTCCCCCCCTTTTAATGATGAAGGCTGCTCGACAATATGGAATAAAGAAGAAGAAAAAACCGGCGTCATATATGTTGACAAGGATAGAGTCCTAAAACTTAGGTAAACATAATCCTTTTTGGACACAAATTAGGAAAACTCATCCCTACTTATTAGAGATAAATTTTTCGACCCCCCTACTACTAAAAAGACTCAAATACACGGCCACACACATGCACAATTGTATTAGAAGACTCAAAAATTTTCAGATTAGGATAAGACTTCCTTATCTTAATAGTTTTCGAAAATAGACTCACTTTAAAACTCTAATTATAATGTCACTGGAATTATAATTTAACACATGCAAAAATTAGTATTTAAATCCAAGTAGGACCTAAATAAAACACACAATAAAATTGTATTAGAATAAGGAAACAATGGCTGCAAATTTTCGGCCAATGTGAACACAAAAATCCAAAACCGAATAGGACTCAAATCATAACACAATTTGGACTCAATGACCTTAATTTTAGGGCTAAAATTTTCGGCCATGTGAACACATAAATACAAGACCAAATAGGTCTCCAAGTGTAACACAAATAGACAACCAAAATTCAAGTTCAACTAGGACTAAGAAACCCTAATTTTTAGCTTCACAATTTCGGCTATATTATGACTCTAAAATTCAAAACCAACTAGGCTTAGAATACCACATAAATCACATGCACACACATGCAAAAAGTCAGCAAAAATTCGGCTATTAACCTTTTACCACATAGTTAAAATTTGAAAAATTACTTTAGACTCACTTAAAAAGGAAACTTGAAAACTACCACTTTCCAAAAATGGACAACAACTTTTAGAATCTTTCTAAAAACCCTTTTCCAAATTGTACTTGAAATTAACAAAAATCACTTTTTACCAAAACAATCCATGGCAAATAAAGTAACAAGAACACCATAATTATAATGAAATAGGAAATTAAAGTTCCTCATTCAATTATGACATTTGCTTCATAATACTAAATTTAACACAAATCATTCTGAAAACTCAATGACTTAACAATGCCATCTTCATAAGTGACCATTGAAAATCAACTTTTCCAACAACCAAATATGTAAACTTTAAGAATATATCTCAAAGCCTATAAGATTTCTTGTCATAAATTAAGAAAATCTTTTTAGTAAAACGTCACTCAATTTTCGATCCTATTCTCGAAAATCAAGGTTTTAAAACACAAGTCAAAGACTTCAATCCTTAAAGTTGGCACAATTCAACTTCAAAGACCTTAAAACACTTTGATACCAAAAACTAATATCACTAAAAATTCATTCCTCATCACATGACAAAGAAAGTTTTTGACTCAAGTTAAGAATCAAAAAAAATCCAATGATAGGAAGATCCACTAATTCGACTCAATCTCAAAGTGTAAAACTCGAGAAAACAAGAAAACCAACATTTGTTACTTTTGAAAAATCTTTTGACACTAAGATTAAACAAGATAATCAACAAAATTCGGTCTCTATGAAATTTTCATGAATTGAAAATCCATAAATTCCATTTTACTCATTAGATTCAAATGAAACCAACAAGAAGGAAGGCTTTTTCATTTATACTTTATGTAGAAAGTACAAAATCACTAAGCTTCACCTTTCAAAGAATAGATCCAAGATATTTACCACAAGATAAACTCTCAAATCCTCCTTATGTAAAGACGTCTCTTTAGAAAGAAAAGGCTATCTCGAGCAAGAAGCTCTTCTTTGGCATCAATTCTCTCCTTAAAGATCCAACACATAAGATCCACCAACTTGCTCATAGGAGAAACAGTTCTCTACTTGCAAATCAAGGATAAATTTCAAGATGTAGCGCCCACTTTGATTAGATACCAACGTACCATCATCAAGTTCTCGCATAGACCTCAAAATAACACCACAAGATCAAACAAATGTGTAAGAAGTCACGCACAACCACACAAAAGACAAGATCAATTTTGAAAACGTAGTTTTTAAAAGAATTTGATTTATTTTTTTCAACACCCCATTCCAAAACAAGAAGGAACCTTGAAACAAATAAAGATAGTACTACTCGTTAAGTAGCACAAAGCTCGATTACCACACCAAGTAACGGATTCCGTGGTAATTCAAGATATTCTCAAAACCAAGAACTATGAAGTCCTCAACTAAGAAGAAATCTCTCGAAAATCAAACTGATAATAGGAACTGATATGATAATATCAGTTAATACCATCAATAAGATAATCCAAGCTCTGATACCAAGAAACTGATAGCAATCTCGTAGATGAACCAAATTTCGTTAATGCAACCATCAACAAGAAAGTACGAAGATAATTTTGTCTATCCCGTGAAACTCAAAAGAGTGCGGAAAATTCACAGTAAGACGATTGTTTATCTAAGTGATTCTATCTCTTAACTCAAACCAAGCAAAGAACACATTATCCATGAAAGATTCGAATTAAACAACAACCCACGCTAAGAATAGCAAGGACACCATTCAATATACTCGATCAGTCATCTATCAAGAGACTCAAGAAAGGTAGGAGCAAACAGTGCTCAATTATGAAGGAATACTATTGATTAGTAATCTTCAAAACCAACCAAAGATATGCAACTCATACACTATTTCAAAATGCTTATGCCAAAGCACAACTCATCCAACAAAAGTAGGACAAACCCCACAATGGATCTCATGAACACACTCATCATGAAATTCGAACACCAAGCCAAAGGAAAGGCTCATCAATCGAACTACTAGAAGTAGTATGAAAATAAGAAGTTTTGTTTTAAAAAAATTCTATCAAGAAGCATACTTGAAAAAGAACGGTTTTTGCAAGATCAAAAAGATCCAAGACAAGATGAAAACCCTCTCGGTTTAATCATACTTGACACGAAAAATGGACACTCCATTTAACAAAAATTCCTCACAGGAAAAACCCTCAAAAGAGACAACAAAAATGACCACTCAAAGGTGCTTAAGAAATTCGGCCAAGCCTCCTATTTATAGGCTTAGAATTTTCGGCCAGCACCACTAAAAAGAAGACCAATTAGGACTCTCTAATCTTATCTCCCACGGAGTAAAAGTAGAAGAGTACTTGATCTCTTTGACTCTATCTAAAATCTAGGAAACCTTATCTAAATGACTTATCCTCAAGTAGGATAATATCTAGAAGGAATCTAAGACTCCTAATCAAAACACTCTAGTTTAATTCAGTCTACATGACTTATTTAACTACATAAAAATTCGAAAATTGACTCCTAGACTTAGACTAACTCTAATCTCGAAATTCAGCTCCAAATTGTTGAAGTAAAATGTCTTGAACGCCCTTCCAAAAGTGGAATATTGGTCTTGCGCCCCTTAAGTCGTAGAAAACTCCAATTTACTCCAAAACTTGTAGAATTCTCTTTATTGACTCCAAAAGATTAGAAAAACACTTGAAACAATTAAGATAGTTTGCAACCTATCCAATTGTGTCGCAATGGACTCAATCTTGAACACTTTGATCGAATAGGTCGTCCATTCAAGAACGTAAATAACTCTTCTCACTAGCTTGATCAATGATCTTCATGGAGCACACAGAGTCAAACTCTCTTGATACTCTTCAGCACTTATTTCCATGAGGTCTTCATCTCCTTTGATTTGAACCCCAAAGTTAATGACATTCTCATCACCTTGATCATAGCTCTCTTGAACCAACTCCCTATCACATAGGTAGTCAAGATCCATCCTTTCTTCCTTGATTGGCCTGCAAAGTAAACTTGACATTCCAAAACTAGAATGAAGGACTAGCTCATTCCCCTCACTATGAGAACCTCCATGGAAGGCTACATGATTCTCATCAATAAGAAGTTTAGTTTTAAAACTATATTATCAAGAAGCATACTTGAAAAAGAACGGTTTCTGCAAGATCAAAAGATCCAAGACAAGATGAAAACCCTCTTGGTTAAATCATACTTTACACAAAAAATGGACACACCATTTAACAAAAATTCCTCACAGGAAAAACTCTCATTAGAGAAGACTCAAAATGAACACACACGGGTGCTTTATCTTTCGGCCATACCCCCCCCCCCCCTATTTATAGGCTAGCAATTTCGGCCAAAGCACCTAAAAGAAGACCAACTAGGACCCTCTAATCTTATCTAACGCAGGAATAGAAGTAGAAGAGTATTTGATCTCTTTGACTCTATCTAAAATTTAGGAAACCATATCTAAATGACTTATCCCCAAATAGGATAATACTTAGAAGGAATCTAAGACTCCCAATTAAAACACTCTAGTTTAATTCAGTCCACATGACTTATTTAACTAGATAAAACTCTATATCTCGGAATTCAGCTCGAAATATTGAAGTAAAATTGATAGCGATCTCGTAGATGAAACAAATTTCGTTAATGCAACC